AACAGGTTAACACGAGTCAAGAAAACGCCGCGAACATCGCCGCGCGCGGCAGCAGCAAATTACGATTCTCTTGCCCGTCTCCCACAATAACTAGCAGTCTGGGTGAAAATCAATAAATAAAAAAACACTCCTAGTTCACGAGTAAATTTCAGAATCTGAAGTTCATACCGGTGGACAATTTTCGGTAGTTCAATTAACACTGGAATTGATGAGCAGTTATCGCGATAAAAATCACTAAGAATATAGGGAATCGAATGTAGAAAATATTGGTCGGCACAAAGACGGAATCATTTGTGAAAGTACTAGGAAAAATCTCTTCCACAAGAGTGTATTGTCGAGAACAGGGTACAGCATCGAGGATCATTCTCGGTCGTTGGAGATGAGAGTCGTATTTTTCTTGGGGAAAAATTTTCCGAACGTTTATTTTTTGCGCTACATATCTCCTTCTCCCTTTTCGACGCCGATGTTCAGAAAAAACTGGAGAAGTTTCGGGAAACTGGTGGGAAGTTGGAAGAATTTGCTGAGACGGTAGGCAGGTTGTGAGAGAGGGTTGGTGTACTGACACTGTCATTTCACCGATGCTGCTGTACCCTGAACGGGGACCGTACACGGCATAAATACCGACAGTTATGATAAATGGGTACCGGTCAGGAAGTCCACGTTGCGGTGCCGCGCAAACCAGGTCATGCGGCGATGCGATGGCCTAAGCAGGTGTGCAGCGGTGCGACACCGCTTTCGCTGTGCTGCCGCAACATGGGCCTCCTGACCGACATTCTTGATATACTATCGTGACGAATACTGACTAGTCATCAAAGTGATTGAAGACCTCGGTGAAGCTGATAAATCAGTGGTGCGGATCATAACATCAAGAAAAGATGATGATCGTTACGATTAATGCTGATTCGGTGCTTGGCGGTGAGTTTAGCGTATTCGTGTCCGTCAAGTAGCTTGCGGCCGAGGTACCTGGAAAGGGATCAGTGTTAGATTTTGAAGCAGTAGGACTTGTACGACTGTGCAAGAGCGCAGACCACCCCCGATTTTGTGGGAGAAGTCAGGCTATCACTGGGCCTTTCTCACTGGCGCGCCATTCCTCTCTACAGCACAGGCAGCGTTCAGAGTTTGCGATGAAATCAGAGTTCGTCCAGCTACCATTGCAACAGCGCTTCGATAGTGCAGAGGGGAACGCAGCTATATAGGGTGTCGATCAGTACTGCTACGCTACTGCTTTGAGGGAGTATGGGTATAGGAGGGTGCGCGTTACTTGACGACACATCTGGTGCCCTCCTAATCTTCTATAATCTCTAAAAGCAGTAGCGGCCAGTGCCGATCGATACGCACCTGTGGCTGCCTCCAAATCCACCATTGGTAGCGCGTCGACGCGCGTGACACCGCGTCCTTAGGAGTGTGAACGCTAAACCGCGTCCTTGGAAATAACGAAAGGAGGGCATGATGAAGAGCACATAGCTTTAGGCCTGATACTGCGAAAACTCAGCGTGGACTGTGCCTCCAAAAGCTATTCGGACATTGCACGATTATCGATCCTGGATAATACGAAATAGAACCTGATAGCAAGTGATATTTACCTCATCATTTCAATCCATGCCTCGACAATTTTCGGATGAGCATCGTCACCGAGCAGATCGCATACCGTGCACACTACTTGAGCGCACACCATCCGGACATTCTCTTCGGTCATACGGTCACTCTGAAACAATCGATACTTACAGCCCCTCAATTTCAAGAAATATAAGATCTGCCAAAAGCACCTCCATGCACAACTGCTAGCCTTAAAAGTGTCGAATAAGGCACGCATATCTCTAAAGGACGAGCTGTGAGGAAGAACACACCGTTATTCACTGAATTATTCGACCAACATCTCGACTCTTTCTACGGTCCACACCAGCGAGGGAGCGCGTGAGGATGACGTTATAGCGATGCGCACTGCAGTGGTATGGGAGATCCACCGCCTCGTGGCCCCGCTAACGTCATTCTCACGCGCCGTGGACGCCCGCCGGTACGTTACGCTTCGGTTCATCTCTTGAACGAGACCTTGCCTTCTACGATACTTCAAGCGCTAGCCGTTTTACATCGATAGCGATGGGCAATTTGTGGAGAACTTACCGCTTTTGTGTTGTAGTGACGTTCGCCGTATTTGAAGATTGCAGGGGCTACTTGTGGTTCGAGTTCATCGACATTCTTCGCAGCCAAGTGAATAATGTTCGTGAAGATCTTCGTATGTCGAATGCACTCGTGATCATCGGGAAGTTCAGAAATTTCATCATCCTAAAAGTTTTGCGATCATGGATGCTTTTAATAATCGAAGAATATAATTACAAGTATGCGAACTTATTGTTAAAATCTTGATCCCAGGTGGGACTCGAACCCACATTCTCCTGGCGAGTGGGCTATCCGTCACGTCACCAGGACTGCCTATTACCCTCTTTAAATCAGCTCAATGGCTTTGTCGCTATAGCCTTCAGGAAGACCCACAGAGGGGTGGCCTTCGAGTCAGGGTACAGTATGATTAGAAGAGTCCCAGCGGGGTTGCAGTTTTGGTCGGTGGTGAAGGAGATGGTACCCGGCCCTCATAGAAATCTTCTGGAGCCGCTGAAGACCTTTTCCAACTTTCGAAATTTCTCGTTTTAGGAGCGCCTAAAACTCCGCCCGCCTGGTGCAAATTTTTCTGGAAAAATCTGGGGAGTTCCCGGCAACCCATTATCTAACAGCCATTACTTGGATCCCTCTAGTTCACCCATTGATCTAAAGGAATAGGAATGACAAGCTATTCAATTTCCTATGCGAAGTGCTTTTCAGAAAAACACACCCACATAACTGAACTTTAATGGCGCTACATTTTCTCTTCCGGGTGTCATCTATGCATGCGTGCATATCCACACATTCACGGGCTAATTAGCGTACGCGAGTAGAAACATAAAAAGTACGGGTGCTGTCTTCAGCAGGCGATACAAACAAGGAACTCCCTCACGAGCACCTTAGCGGACTTCAGTCTGGCTGTAGGAAAAGTGATGGAAAACAGGGTATGTTATCGCTGCGCGAAATCCGCCAGCGGGTCGTATTTGGTCGCTAGTGTGGATCGTATCTGACATCAAGAGAAAGTTGTCCTTAAATTGTTCCCTTGGCACAAAGTTAACCATCTCCTAGTCAATAGCGCCAAGACAAGACCAATATTTCGAGACTTGATTGGAAGAAGGTACCTCCCCCCTTCAACACGAAAGTTCGTCTGAGACCGCTATTTCACCCGGCTCTACTGTATCCTAACGGGGAAGAGCGGTTTTCTTTTCATGTGGGTTACCCGCGACCAATAATTGTCGACCTTATCCGCACAGGTCACGTTGACTGAGATCAAAAGCTGTGAAAGCAACTCAGACGCCATTCGGGTATATCACTACCCTCCAACCCCATTCCTGTGCACTTGTGGACGGAAAAAGAGGGTACGCTACCACAGCTAGGGACTCATTCATCTCAGAAGGACCAGGATCCATGGAGGTGAGCGTACAGGTTGTCTTTATCCATCAAGAAGCGTGGGTGCACCTTGAAAATGCAGTCACTTGAAATTTACCGCTCTCAGCAGTCTAGC